GGCAAAAAAAAATAAAAACATAAAAAATATATATATTATATATATAGTCACAAACAGAACTGCCCGGTAAACCGTAGGCAGAGAGAGAGAAGAGGACAACAAACGAGGGGCTGTGACAAACTGTTTCGTCGGAGTTATACCTACCTACTCATCAGGAGGCTGAACCCTCAACAGTCTGCAGAATCCCCTCACTGATTACACTGTAAATGATAATCTACCTTAACCAAAATCAAAGAGACTACAGACTGTCGGTTCACACTCCATCACAAACAAGCCAGCAAAACACCCACGAAACGAAGAAAGGTGTGTCACAGCCAAGAAACGCACTCCAGACACGCCGCTGGCACTAGAGGCACAGCGTGCCCGCCTAGTAACGGCCCCGACCACTGCCGCTCGACCTGACCGGAAAAAACCGTAGCAGGAAGCTAGCCAAGTCGTAGCATATATCGTCACAAACAGAACTGCCCGGTAAACCGTAGGCAGAGAGAGAGAAGAGGACAACAAACGAGGGGCTGTGAATATACTAGTATCATAGTATGATGTTATATATTTTTATTTTTATTTTATTTTTTCTGGTAAAGAATTTCGATGTGACCCTGAGGCAAAAGTTGATCGATATATTGGATTGGAATTAGGATTAAATCATTTAAATTCTACTTTAATATTAACATACACTAAGGTCATTGGATGCCATAGCTTCTCATAACTTTTTGTCCTTCTGCAACTAGAGATTTGTACGGGATGGATGGGCTGAAGACAGGCGTCTTCACTGTGAGAGGTCCGTGGTCGGGGATGGGACTGGCCGGAAGTGCCTCTCCCAGCCTGGGGCTAGGTCCCACTTACACGGATTAAGCCATATTGACCGTAGATAGCAGAGATCAACGGCTAGAATCTCTTAATCCGTGCAAGTGGGACCTTGCCATTGGTTTGGCTACGGAATTTTGCATGTGAGGGACACCGGGCTCACTTCCTTTGTTTTATAATTCGAAATTTTTTTGTTTTTTTTTGGTAAGTTGTTCAGTTTATTGCTGGGACCTTCTTCGGTCCTTGCACGGCCGGGCCGGCCGGGGAAGCAAGGTGACCCCCGAGGCCCGGCTGGTAGCCTGGTAGCCTAGTTAATAAGTTAATAACAGATGGTAGCATTGCTGTTTCGGTCCTGAGCCTACGGCCTTCCTCACGTATGCTATTTCGTTCTCATTCTCCATCTCTCTCTCTTCCTTCTTCCATCTCTCTCTTCCTTCTTCCATCTCTCTCTTCCGTCCATCTCTGTGTTTGCTTCTCCCATAGCTTTTTCTGTCCTTCTACATCCTACCTGTACTTACGTCTTGCTTTTTTTTTTTTTTTTTTTTTTTTTTTTTTAATAACGCCTTCCTACTTGGGGTCTGCCTTCATGTCATTGCT